TGACAATGGAAAATATTTTTATAAGGCATTCCAAATGTTATTATCAGGATTGATGACATTCTCTTGACAGGACTAACCAGGAAATCTCACTTATCAACTTTAGAGTAAGTATTAAGTAGTCTAGACAAATATGGTGTGATAAACAGGAAAAATTTAAGTTTTTGGTTCCTGAGGTGATTTATTTAGTTTACATGAGAACAGGTTAACAGAGAAATCATTCAACTTGTGGAATGTAAAGTACAGGCTATCAAAAAGGCTCTATGTAATTGCAAGCCTTTTGGGGAATGTTGAATTGTCATGCACACTCCTCATGTAGCATCTCCAATATTCTAGCATCCTTGTATCAGTTGCATGGAAAGGAAGCAAAATGGAAATGTTCCTCACAACAGGAACTTGCTTAACAAGGCAGTTATTGTTGCTTATGGTACCTCTCCATATGGCAGTGTTATCCTGTATCATGAAAGATGGACCTAAGAGGCACATTTGTCTTCATGTCAAGGATTCTTGCACCTACTGAAAAAAAGAAAAAAAACTATCTATACCCAAATTGACAAAAAAAATGAGTTTTGGTTTATGGAGTTAAAAATTTCACCAGTATTTGTGTTGCAGGTTACTAGTGTGTTTAGGTAAATATTAGCCATTGTTATGTTACAGGAATCAACACTTTGGATAGTAAATATTTATGGGCTTCTAAAATATTTATCCCACAGACAATATTGACAGACTTAATGTGAGTCCAGGTAAAAATTGTTGCACAAAACAATAAATATAAAACAACAATTCATGTATTAACAAAAGGAATTGCATATATCGACAATTGTAATAAAAGGAAAAAAAAACATTAAAACAAGTTATAAGAAAAATGTACTTGTGTGTGTGTGTGTGTGTGTGTGTATGCATGTGAGAGAGAGTTAAAAAGTCAAAGGAGGACCAAAGAAGCAAACATGCCTCAGAAGCAGTGTTCCTATCTATGTAAGACTACATCTGAAGGCCAGAGCTAAACAGACCAAAAAGAGGGTGAGTGAGAATATCATTGCCTATTTATAGGCTTAAAGAATGCCCCCTAGTAAGCGCTTTTGGCAAAGTGGGATAGCCCAAATTTGTATGGTTAGCCTTTCAAATCATATACTGATCATAAAACATTTTTAAGATATTTTAAGGAAAATAAAAGAATCTGTGAAATCAGCTCTGCAAAGATTCAGAGGTCATCTGTAAACAAAATAGGAATGTTGACTTGCCACTGCTAACTAAACTTAATGAAGTTCCAATGCCAGATGAGACTATTATACTGCTGGAGTATCTTGATTAAACCCCAGTCACTTAACAAGAAATTGCGAGATGGGCAAGGAATGATACCATTCTCAAATGAGTGGTGTTGTACATTCAACATGGATGGCTTGACAAATGTCCAGATTCAGAAGAATTGTTATCCCTATTTTACAAAGAGGCATGAACTGGGGGTAATAAAAAAATTGTATATTGTGGGGCAAGAGGTTTATTGTGCCCCTGCAGTGATGAAAATAACTCTTAGAAGCACTCCATGAAAGACACCAAGGAAAAGTTAGAATGAAGTGTTTGAATTATTTTTGGTAGTCTAGTCTAGACAACAACATTGAATTTAAAGTGAGGAACAGTTGTGAATGCCATACCAACAGTTCAATGCCTACAGCAGTTCCTTTACATCCTTAGGAGTTTCCAGAGAAAGAGTAGTCCAGATTGTATATCAATTATGCTTGTCCATTCAACGTACACATGTTTTTGGTGACTGTTGACACAAATAGATGGATGTCTGTATAATTAATTCATCCACTGCAACCTCAACTATTGAAAGCTTACAAAGATGTTTTGTGACATGGAAATCCAGAGATAATTGTTTTAGGTAATACTGCTGCTTTTGTCAGTGTGGAATTTCAGATTTTTACTTCTAGACATAAGATAAAACATGTGACCACAGCTCCTGAGCATCCTTCATCTAATGGTTTGGTAGAAAGTTATGAGCACATCCCCAAGGAAGAAATGCAAAAGATGAACCAATGGAGATGTTCACTGAATTTAAAGTTAAGTCAGTTTCTGTTGTCTTACAATTTGACTCCACAAATGGTTACAGGAATGTCTCCAGATGAAGTACTGATAAGAGGGAAGATTAAACCTGTTTTGAAATTGGTGATTTCTAACAAAACCTCAATATGGGGAATACAGGAGGAGACTATGGAGAACTTAAAAAAAAAAACAGTCACAAAAAAAGCATGTTTGTTTGTGCATTTCAAGAAGGTGGTTCTGTGTTTGTGTGGGTTTAAATTATTTTTGCTTTACACTTGTGTATATACTTATATAAATTAGATTTAATGTGGCTTTTGGTGTTTTGTGCATTTACAGGTGGTTATCTTCAGATAACTTCCTTATACCAATTTTCACCAATCTTTGGCCTGTTAAAAATGAATGAAAAGATAATTAGTACAAAGATTTAGTCACATTGTAAAGGTAAAATTTTATATATCTTAAAACATACAAAATTTAAAGAGTTCATAATTTTATATGGAATGTTCTCATGTTAAATGTCTAAGTCCTTTAGCATGTGTATAAGAGAGAGAAAGAGAGAGAATCCTTGTAATTTAATGTCTATGTATGTGTATATTCAGTTGGTAGTAGCAATCTTGACTCACTGTTGATTTAAAGGTTCAAGTAAAATAAGGTATAGGTGAAGGATGGAATTCATTCATTTACTCTCTATTTCTTTTGTCTGACCAGGCTCTATGTTTACTCATTTTTCTAAGACAAAGGAATTTCTTTCAGAATTGTCTCTTGCTTTCTGATTGGTTCACATGTGTGACTCATTTGACAATTGCTTTTCTTCACCTACATTTAGAAGTGATGACCTTTTGGATTCTTTTATTTACTTTTTTTTTTAAATTTTTGTTTTTATTTTTCTATCACTACATGTTAGTCAAAAAACTTTTATACAGGACTGAAATAGTTATACAAGATGGTTATAATTAAAAAAACCCAGTCCCTTAGCTTATTTGATTCAGTTGGACTCTGGGAAAGTAGTGTGATGCCAAATAAAAAAAAAAAAAAAAAAAGAAAAAAGTGGATTAAATCTATACTAAATGAATCATAATAAATTGAAACTCAGATATGGAGTTAAATTTGGATACTGAATTAAAAAAAAGTTTGGATCAAGATCTGGTCACTCCACTAGTTCACCAGAATAACTCAGATCAGTCTGTTAATCAGGAACCCTTCATGTCAGGAACTGTAATTTTATCAAGAGAACCCTAATGCCTCTTTTGGTGTTTCAATGAGCAGTGGAACTAGATACAGTACAAGAATTAGGAAACCACCCAGTTATCTGAAAGACTACATTATATGAACTCTGTATGTGACCTGGTAGGATTAAAACAAAAAGGGAGAAGTTTAATATAGTAGTATTAACAAGTAATTCAATATTGAGTTATTGCCCCTTATATATCCACAATTCCTTTTCAATCACTGTATTCCATCTTGTAAATAAAGCCCTTGTATTTTTCCTAAGTCCCATGTTTAACTAAGTCTATTATACACATATATGGATAGGAGAAAAAATTTTGAGCAAAATGAATATTTTAAGACATTTTTGTGTTTATACATTCTTTTTATAGATACAAATATTTAAGTAAATGCTCTGTTTATAATAAATAGTATTAAACAACATTTACCGGCCTGAATGACCAAGAAATTTTCATAGAAAATATTTGTTCTCTGACAGGATTTGAACCTGTATCCTATACAGAACTGTCATTTAGCTCACTGAACGCTCCTCTGTGGCCAAATCGGTAAAGGCATGTCAAGCTAAATGATGGTTCCGTATAGGATACATGTTCGAATCCTGTCAGAGGATGAATATTTTTGTGAAAATTTTCAGACATTCAATAAAAAAATGTTGTTTAATACTGTTTATTATAAACAGAGCATTTACTTAAATATTTGTATCTATAAAAAAAATGTATGAACATAAAAATATCTTAAAATAATTGTTGGACTTTGTCCATTTCATAAAATGAATATTCCTGTTGGAGTTCAAATAAAAATCAGTATGTAAGTATATGTAAAGAGAGAGATTTACATACAATGTATGAGAGAACTTTGTTGAACTTTGCTGTGGTCTTAGTGGAAGTGGGATAAACAGTTGAAGATGGTTCTTTTGAAGTTGCCAGTAAGTGAAAATTAAATCCTGTTGAAAGTGAATACATATCTACTGTTGCCAAAACTTGTTTATATTTCTTTTAAGAGGTTCAAGACTTAGACTTTTCTACACCAAAATAGAACAATATGATTGGTCTATTATTTTTTCCCAGCTGTCATTTGATATGGCTCTCTACTGTGTCTGCATGGATCAAATGAAACTGATTTTGTAATTTCTCAAATCAAAGGTGAAGGTTTGGGTGTTGTTTTTTGTATGGGTATATGTGTGTATAATCCACAGAACACCTCACCTGAAGTAATGAATATATTTAATTTACATAAAATATTATATACACTTTAATCATTTTATGTTGAATGCTTATTTTTCCTAACAAAATGGATGTTAATTTTTTTAAGAAACTTCAAAGATAGAAATTAGAAAGTAAAAACAAATCAGCTACTCCAGGAAAAACATGATTGTGTTATCATTTTTAAAAAAATTAATTTCACATACTCTATGTATCTAATCAGTTAACTTATATTTTAAGTTTTTGAATAATTATACAGTCATAGATATTTATTATAAATGAACATGTAGTATATTTTATAGAATTTAAAGTGTTATATGAAATATGGATTTATGTAAATTTTAATATAAAAATGTGGTGTTGTATAAAATTTAATGTTGTAAAATGGCTGTATACAAAATTTAATGTTATTTCATGGTTTTATACAGAAGACTTTGTTGTGATATGGATTTATGCTACATTTTATATTATGATATGGGTTTATGCAAAATTTAATATTATGGTATGGATTTATTTATTTTATTATAACAGAATGCTTTACGAGACAGCCTAAGAAGGAAGTTGGATGTATTGCGTGAAGCGAAATTGAATGTTGAAGCAGAAATTCAAGAAATAGATATCATGAAGAAAAATGTAAGTATCATCTATATTTTTATGATATATTTTTTATATATTTGTATGATATATTTTTATGCCATATTTGTATTATAAATTTTATGATATATTTGTATGATATATTTGTATGATATATTTTTATGATATATTTTTATGAAATATTTTATGATATATTTGTATGATATATTTTATGAAATATTTTTATGATATATTAGGTTGAGTCATAGGTAATTTCTATTTTTGATATATTACATTCAATCATATGTAATTTCTAATTTTTATGATAGGCTGAGTCATATACAATTTCTGTTTTATGATATATTAGGTTTGATTATATCCAATTTCTGTTTTGGAGAACCAATTGTTATATAACAAATATACTAACAGAAACTACTAATTGTACATGGAAGTTATGAATAAATTTGGAATACACTAATATAGAGGGTGCGATGGATAAATTGTCATCTAAATTATGCAAACAGGAAAATAACAATGACATCTCATTATAACAGATATATTTACCAAAATTACACAAAAATATTTTGACATACTAAAGAGTAAATTTATTGAACAAAATTGTCATTGGCTTCAATCATGGCTGCCATATGACTTCAGAATCTCTTGGATGGTCTCTTTGTTTAAGTTGGTGAATGCTGCCATAATCCTTGCTTTCAGTTCATCTTTTGTGTTACAAGGAGTTTTGTTGGTGTCTTACTCAACTGCATCCCACTCATAATAATCAAGGGGGTTGCATCCTGGGCAGTTAGGTGGCCAGATGTAAGGGATTGATGTGGTTGAAGAAATTATCTGACAACCATGACTGGGTTTTCCTGTTTGTGTAGCATGGTGCAGAGTCCTGTTGCCAGACACTGGGTCTTCCAGCTGCCAACATCTTGACCCAGGGCAACACTACCTCATCAAGGCACTTTATGTAGGCCTTTTTATTGAGTCTGAGGTTTGTGGGAAGATAAATGGAGGCATAACATTGCCATCACTAGTGATTACTCCAAACACCTTGATGTTGACTGAATATCTCATCCAACTCTCTCTGAATCCTCTGCATTGTCCTTAGATTGACACCCAAATATTCTGAAATGTTCATATTGGAGCTTCTACCACAAATGCCAAGCATTATCTCATACCTTTTCCAAATTTCTGAAGGAGTGAATTGCATCACGGTTCACTTTTTCTTACAAATGGTGTCCAATTGACTCTACTGTGCAGTCAACAAAATAAAAAAAAAAACAATGCACATGCAAAAATAAAATGGCGACAACTTACCCATCTGTTATACCTGACGTACTTATTCTATTATTAATAGAGTCTCCCACACATAATAAGTAGTAGTAGTAGTAGCGGTTGCCAGTTGGGCTCAGTGGTGTTGAGCGAGTCAGTCGATATCGGACATTAAAGTAGCAACCATCACAACTAGATTGCTGCGTCATTAACTCTTATTTCCAAGTTCCTAACGTTTTGTACGTTGAACCTAATTTAGGATGACTTATTGAAATACAAGCCTCCACTGTGAAAACTACTCTACAACACCATCACACTCTGTACCTTGGATTTTGCATTGTGATGAAAATGTGACTTAAAGGAAAAATTTTGTTCTCCATGGAAACACAAGGCTTCATACAGCAAGGATTTGATTGATCTCTTCTAACTCACACACCGTATTTACCTGACCTTTCATCAATTGATTATTACATTTTCAATTACTGAAAATGCTTTGATGAGGCAAACCTTCTTTAATGAAAACCAAATTAAAGGGTTTGTCAAAAACTTTTTCACGTTAAAACCTACTGAATTTTACACAAAATATGTTGAATAATTGTCTGCTAAGTGGCAACAAATCATTACAAATAATGGTGAATATATAATTAAATAAAATGGAATTGTTCATTTATTTTTGGAAGTATAAGTTGATAAATAAAAAAAGAAATTATTTTTGATTCACCCTAACACACACACACATACATACATACATACATACATATTATAATAAAAAGAAATATATATATATATATTTATCAATGCGTTGGACTTCGCCACCCACTATACGGATATTACAGATGAAGAAAGGAACATTATTCTGTATGCAAAAAAATCAGTACTTATAAATAAAAAGGTGAGGAATGGGTTAAGAATTTTACGACCAATTTGACATCTTTAATGGGATCACTAGACTCAGCTGAGTCTTCTGATCTCATTGGCCTCTTTTATATATACAACCTTACAGCACACTATGAAAATTAATACAAATGATATTGGTTTGTACAGAGACGATGGGCTTATGGTTATTAGAAACTCAACGAACTTCAAAATAGATAGAATTAGAAAGTTATTATATAAAGAATTTAAAAGCATGGGCTTAAAAATTACGGTTAGTACAAAATAAAAAAAAAGTAGACTTCCTAGATATAACTTTAGATCTAAATAAAAATACATACACACCTTATAAAAAACCCAACACCAATCCTTTTATATATACATCCTAAATCAAATCACCCCCATCTATAATTAAACATATACCGTTATCTATAAGTAAACGAATTAGTACAAATTCAGCTAATAACAAGATTTTTGATGAGCATATCAATTGCTATAATAAGGCTCTAAAAGATAGTGGCTAAAAAACCCAAAACTAACTTATATAAAAATGAAAATGGAAAGCATAGAAAAAAACAGATGTAGAAAAATTATTTGGTATACTCCCCCATATAACCAAATGATAAAGAACAGATTAGGACATAAATTCCTCGCATTAATAGTCAAGCATTTTCCTAGTGAAAGTAAACTAAGTACTATTTTCAATAAAACACACTAAAATTAAGTTATAGCTGTACAAAAACTTAGAAAAAATCATTAAGAACCATAATGCTAATATCTTAAATAAACACTTATACCAAAACAAAAAAGTTTAGACAATGGAAAAATTAAGATAAAACTGATGGAAATAAACAAAAACTATGTAACTGTAGAAACCCTCAAAATTGCCCACTACAAAATAAATGTCGCACTGAATCATTAGTATACCAATGCAATATCTCTTCGATTGAAAAGTCCTGAATAACATAAAAATATATATAGGTTGCACTAGCCATGAATTCAAAAAAGATTCAACCAACATCAAACTTCATTTAGAATTTAAATATATTTGAGAGAGGTATTATGTAAGTATTTACATTAGTCGGACTATTGAATCAATCTTTGTCGCCATTACAATATACAACGTTTGGCCGTTGTATAAGAAAAGCCTTCTTCAGGTGGTTGGAATTTCGAACTGAACCCTTTATGGCACACATGGACACATGGCACAGTGGATAAGTATTATAAAAGATCCAGTGACAGATGAAAAGAAGGTGAGTTCAATTCCTGGTTAAGGCAGTGGAGAACTTTCAGAGGGAAAATTAGCAGGAGATAACTGATAACTGATATCCATTAGACATGGCACGTGGAATTAGAACAGTCTACCCCAGTGATTGAAATAAAGGGTTATAGTTCGAAATTCCAACCAATTGAAGAAGGCCAAGTTTATGCATAACGGCCAAACGTTGTGACAAATATATAATTTATAAAGATGAGGACAATAGTCCGACTAATGTAAATATTTTGTTCATTTAGAATAAATAAATATAAAAATCAAACATCTCTCTCAAAATATTTCTGGCATCTAAAAGAATCAAATAAAACACCTACAGTAAAATGGAAGTTAATAAGAAAAGCTAGAATTTGTAGATCATTAAACGACCTGTGTCCTCTTGAAATTACAAGAGAAACTATATATTACTAAGTTTATAAAAATAAAATTTACTGAATCAGAGAAATGAATTTAGCTATTATATGCTTTCATTGTGAAAAATTTTCTTAAATAAAATAAAAAAAAAAAAAAAAAAAAAAAGTCTATTGAATGGCAGGAAAATGTTTTAAACTTGTATTTAAAATTTAAAATTGTAGTTAAAAACGTATTAAAACATAAGCATTTTTAAAAATTGTAGTTAAATAAAATGTATCTAACTTGAAACACCTCTATAATAAATGTACTACAAAACTGTTTGAATGAATCCAATAAAACACCTACTGAAAAATGAAATTATAAAAAAAGCTAGATGATGTAAGGTAATGTATGACCCATTGTTTTTTGTACATACATATGAAACTTTATTACTCAGGTTACATATATTTAAAATAAATAAATTAATTAATTAATACATAAAGTTTACTAAATCTGAGAAATGACTTAGCTAGTTTTGTAGTCTGTGCCATTTATATTACTTAAATAATGTTTAAATATAATAGTTTAAAAATTGTAATTTACATATACTTTGATATGGAAAAATAATTATACTTACTATGAGTAATTATCCTTCTGTTATAAAAGTAATATATTCTATTAAAACTAACAATGAAAATATTTTAAAATTTTATCAAAAACAAAATTTTAAAATTGTAATTAAAATTGTAGTTAAATAAAATGAATTCTAACCTGTTCTTTGTACATACATATGAAACTTTATTACTTAGGTTACATATATTTAAAATAAATAAATAAATTAATTAATAAATAAAGTTTACTAAATCTGAGAAATGACTTGGCTTTTTTGTAGTAAGTTCCATTAATATTACTTAAATAATATTTAAATATAAAAAGTTTAAAAATTGTAATTTACATATACTTGGATATTGAAAATAATTTTACTTACTATGAGTAATTTTCCTTCTGTTATAAAGTAATATAGTCTATTAAAACTAACAATGAAAATATTTCAAAAAGTTTAAAGTTTGTAATTTTAAAATTGAAACTAAAATTAAAGTTAAATTGAATGAATTCTAAACCTAAATTAAAATTTTTAAATAATACTACACGCACTTAAAAAAAGAATAAAAAAAAAACACCTATAGTAAAATAAAATTAATATGAAATGCCATAAGATGTAAGCTTTTGAATGACCCATGTCCTTTGTACTTACATGAGAAACATTATATTACTAGGTTTATATATATAAAATAAAAAAAAAAAAAAAAAAAAGATGTAACCTCATATACATACTTAAACTTGAATTAATACATAAAGTTTACTAATTCTGAGAAATGACTTAGATAGTTTTGTAGTCTGGGCCATTAATATTACTTAAATAATATCTAAATATAAAAGTTTAAAAATTGTAATTTACATATACTTTGATATGGAAAAATAATTTTACTTACTATGAGTAATTATCCTTCTGTTATAAAAAGTAATATAGTCTAATTAAAACTAACAATGAAAATATTTTAAAATTTTAAAGTTGTAATTTTAAAATTGTAATTAAAATTGTAGTTAAATAAAATGAATTCTAACCTGTTATTTATACATACATATGAAACTTTATTATTATTAGGTTACATATATTTGAAATAAATAAATTAATTAAATTAATAAATAAATAAATTTACTAAATCTGAGAAATGACTTAGCTAGTTTTGTAGTAAGTGCCATTAATATTACTTAAATAATATTTAAATTTAAAAGTTTAAAAAAAAAAAAAAAAATTGTAATTACATATACTTTGATATGATAAAAATAATTTTACTTACTATTAGTAATTTTCCTTCTGTTATAAAGTAATATAGTCTATTAAAACTAAACAATGAAATTTATTTTAAATTTTTAAAGTTGTAATTTTGAAATTGTAATTAAAATTGTAGTTAAATTGAATGAATTCTAACCTAAAATTTTTTAAATAATACTACACGCACTAAAAAAGAATCCAAAAAATAACACCTATAGTAAAATAAAATTAATATGAAATGCTATAAGATGTAAGCTTTTTTTGAATGACCCATGTCCTTAGTACTAAATATTATAATACTAGGTTTATATATATAAAATAAAAGTTTACTGAATCAGTGAAATTAAGTAACCATTTTTGCCGTCATAGTCATAAATAAAAAAAAAAAAAAATGTAACCTCATATACATACTTAAACTTGATGTTAAAATAATCCTACATAATATAATGGATTCTAATACATTTAACTGTTTTTAAAAAGAATATAGTAAAATAAAAATTAAAAAAGGAGAATATTTCAAATCGTAGTTAAATAAAAATGAATTAGAAAAAAAAAAAAAAAAAAAATTTTTAAATTTAAAAAAATGACGTTGAAAATTTTTTTTACCGTTTTTTTTTTTTTAAATAAAAAAAAAAAAAAAAAAAATTCAGACGACATCCATTCAACTGATGTCAGGTTTCATTGTAAAATACATCCCTACCCCTTACCAAATTGTAGCTAATAACTGATACAATGATACTGACATAAGGAAAATCTAGACACCCCTTGTTCAATTTAAGTAGAATATTCTGTAACCATGGAAACGTGATTTTAGCTGTGTCTTTAAAAACCCGGTAATTTTAAAAGTTACTCCAAAATTCGCTTGAAGATGAAATGGAACTAATGCTTTTAATTTATTTGCAAAATTAAATTAGGGTTTTTAAGTTCTATTTTTGAAACATGGTTGGAACTGTGTATTGAAAAAAACCATATTTTTTAAATCAATTAATTTATAATATATATATATATATATATATATATATTTATAAATTAATTGATTTAAAAATTAATTTTTTTAGAATCAGATTACAGTTCTAAACCATGTTTCAAAAAAAAAAATACATATTTTAAATTAATTAATTTATATATATTAATGCTCTGTAAAATTACATTGAGCACTATTTTTAAAAAAAAAAAAAATAAAAATATCTATAAAACACGGATTATATATCTTTGCTGTTCTTTCTTTTATTTATATATATATATATATATATATATATATATATATATATATATATATATATAATAAAAGAAAAATATATATATATATATATATATATATATATATATAATAAAAGAAATGTATATATATATATATATATATATATATATATATATATAATAAAAAAAGAAATGTGTATATATATTATATATAAAAATAAATATATATATATATATATTATAATAAAAATAAAAAATATATATATATATATATATATATATATATATATATATATATATATATAAAAAAAGAAAGAACAGTAAGATATATAATCCAGTGTTCTTATTCATATTTTTATTTTACAAAACAGTGCTCAATGTAAATTTGCAGAGCATAAATATTATATTATAATATTATACTTATAATATTTTAAATCAGTTAATTTATAATATATATATATATATATATATATATATATATATATATATATATAATTTAAAAATAAATTACCAACTCAATATATGATTGGTGTTATTTCATTTGTATTCATGGATATATTTTTTTTAATCATTTCACTCTTAACAAGAAAATAATGCCACAAAGGTACAAAGGGGTTACTGAGTATTAGAATATGAAAAAAAAAAAGAATCCTATTAAGGCAGTAATAGAGAAAATTAATATGTTTATTAATATTTAATAATATTAAAATATTTTATTAAATTTATATTTAATATTAAATATTTAAATATCAAAATATTAATATTAAAATAAAAAATATTAAAGCAGGGAATATTAAGAAAGCTTAACATTAAAAGAGAAAATTAATACATTTTACTCAACATTCATTTTTTTCAAATGATTTTAAAGTACATTTAAAATATATCAATGAAAATCTGTATATATTCTTTTAAATAAATAAATAAAAAAAGCGGCAAATTCTGTCTGTCCATTCGTGTGTCTGTAGCCCTTCTAAATTGGGTCACACTTGCTCTACATAGACATATTATATCTTTTTGGAATCCGGATGATCCTGGATTGAAAATCTGCCTTTCATCTGATACTTGAACATTCAGCATCGGGATTTTTTTTTTTTTTAAAGCATTTCACCCCAAGCAAGGTGGGAAGCCACTAGGACGCAAGGGGTTACAGAAAATTTAGAGCAAGATCAGATAGGAGTGATAGAAGAAAGGATGAGAGTAGTGGATAGATCAAGGCAACTGGAGATGTCGATTGACATTACACTTGAATAGCTGGAGATTATAGCTCACAAGGAAACAGGAAAAAGGAAGGGAGTTCCACAGGCGAGAGGTGCGAGACATGAAGCTATTGGAGTAGAAGAGACGGCTACATTTAGGAGTTTTGACAGTGAAGGGGTGAGAGCAGGATGCCAGCCTCGTATGGCGCTTGAACTCATGACGTCTGGGAACCAGTGAATGCAGCTCCTCGGAGCAATTTCCATGAAAGTATTTGTAGAACAGAGGGAGGCGACGGCACGTCTGTGAGAAAGTGACTGTAGACGAGACACCAGAGCAAGACCAACTACATTGCATATCCGCCTCTGGAGCCTATCAAGAACCCCGAGGCAAACAGAAGGGGCACCAGACTATATATGGCAGCAATACTCCATGCAAGGGCGAGTGTCCAGATGTGAAATTAAAAATTCAAATTTTAAAATGACTGAAAAAAATTAGTGATTTTAAAAGTTTTTAATTCATATTGTGTTTAAAGTTTTTTTTTTTAAATTCAGTTTAAAATATCTCCAAAACTTTGTGAATTGAGGAAATCAATTTTATTTCTTCAAAATGCCAAGGAATCAAAGTTAAAGTGAGACATTTTGTGACATGAAGTTTTGAATTTCCTCAGAGTTTGTGATTTGAAGAACTCAATTGAAGTTCAAAAGAGTTTGAGATTTTTGAAGAACTCAATTTTCAGCCTAAATTAGAATTTTGGCCCAAATTAGACTTATAGTCTGCATCAGAGTTAAAGTGAGGTTTCGAAGTTCCATGGAGTGAATTGAAGAATTCAAAGTTATTTCTTCAAAATTATCATTGCTGTTGTCTAAGCTGAACCAGAGATTACTTTAGTTTTGGGCCAGAGGCCCAATTAGTCCTCTATACGAGCTGGCTTTTAAACTAGTACAAAATATATGGTAAGAAATACCATTGCTGTGATAAAGTTTACCTTAAATGAAATGGGTAAATTGGAAAAATTTTTTCTTAACTTTAAAGTATTTTTGTAAAATAAAAGGAAAAAGAAACATAATTTGAATATTATTAATGATTTATAGAATATACAACTGTCTACCCAAACAAAATCCTATCTATTTCATTATAAAATTATATTAGTAAATATCCTTGCTCACTGCTAAATATAAATTAAAGGGAGATAACTCTGTCGATTAAGCAGCTACTGAAGCCTATTTCTTTCAAGCATAATTTTAAATATTGTTTTATATTTTGATGTAAGTGTAATGTAATATCACAGAATAGATTAAATTTCTTTGTACAAAAAATTTTATTTTGCTTATTCTTTACAGATCTGTAGCCAATTTGAAAATGTTTGCCCAAATGTTAATGAGCGCCGCAAGTTGACTGATTTTTTCAAAGATCGAGAAATGTGTCAAGTCCTTTTGTCAAAATTAAAAGTTCGGATAACTCGTCTTAAAAATGAAATGGAGGAAACAAGCCCAAGTCATGATCTTGTAAGTGCTTATGTATACACATGATTTTTCAGTTCTTATAAGAATTATTCTAAAAATCAATTTTTTCAGATATAACTGTAGTCGATCGATCTCCAAAGAACTGTGATTGCTGTATAGTAATATCATTGTTTTATTTTAAAATTATCATGAATTTTAACACTTTTGAGTGTTTGGAAGTAACTTTTTTTCATTAAATATTGTTTATTGAAACATTTAATTTATTTATCTTTAAATAAATACCTTATAATAAAAAGCTTTTACTTAATGACTACAACATTTTTTGTCATATTATCATTTCTCTTATGTATTCCAGTTCATAAGAAATTTATGTATAGTTGTACTTATTTTTTCTTTCTCTGTTAACCACAAATAACCTACAAACAGCTCAGAAATCATTATCAACTAAAATTTTCAATACTATGGTCAGGGCCAGATTTAGGTCTTAAGTGTTAATAGAATTTGGGGACTCCTGCATTATATATGTTCACCCCCATATCGATAAAAAGAAATCTAAATGGGACCACTTCAAGGAGCCCCATTGAATTTAAAAGTCCCACTCCAACTAGAGGGGTCTAAATACTCTAAATTGTTTCAAATTAATTCAAAGGAGCCCCATTAAATCTGAAAATAAACAACTCTCCTGTTGTTATATTTATTGTATTTAGGGTTTTATCAGGGACCCAAAACTAGAGGGATCTTGGGAATCCCTCTAGTCTTGGAGCCTCTGGGCTGCACTCTATACTAGCCCATATATAAATCCAACACTATGATCTATAGAAGAAAACATACTTCATATTCAAAAAATGACATTGATGAAATGTTTATATAAACAAACACAGAATAGATGAAAATCAAGATATATGTGACTATCAGTTATTTATAACTATCATTGTAAACACTGCACAGAATAGAAATTTCCCCATCAAACCACCTCAGCTTTTTTTTACATGCATTCAAAGAAAGAACAATAGAACAAGTTTAACCTTCATGCCTGCAAAAAAACCTCCAAAAACAGTATGTCAAAAGGACAGTTATTCCCTTGAAACCTCTTTTACTGTATAGACTTTTGACTCCCTCACTAATGTTTATTTACGGTATTATAAAAATATGTGAACCAAGTATAATTCGATATTTATTTATCATTTTATAAAGAAATATGAAAACCAGTTTTTTGTTCATAATTTTATAAGAATATCAGTGAAATATAGAACAAGATATGCAAATTAGTATAATTTGCATATGAGCAGGTAGCTCATATATAATAAATGGACACCAACGAGAACGGAAGTGGAATAAGAACTTAGTGGATACACGACATAACAATGGCGTCGCCGATAGGATACTCTTTGGTCCTTGAAGACCCAGAGTACGTAGACACGTGGATTCGTTGCTTTGCTGCTAATGCTAGATGTAAAAAGTTGAAAGACAACAAAAACAGAGGAGGGGAAAATGAAATCACCGACTTGTTCATGGCTACCGCTGGTTGTGAAGCGATTATGAAGGTTGCTACAATGGTTTACCCTCGAGAACTAGAAGAAATGACTTTCGAAGAAATAAGTCAGGTTATTAAGGGAAACATGAGGCCAAAGAAAAGACTGGTGATTGCAGAAAGGACCAAGTTTATGGCAATGAAGCAGGAAGTGGATGAACCGATAGTAAAATATTTACACCGGTTAAGAAGTGCGAGTAAATACTGTGAATTCGAAAAACTAGGAACAGGCGAGCAGACAACGGAAGAAGAATTAATCCAACTAAGATTAATTGAAGGTATGCATAATTCGGCACATAGATATAAGTTAATGGAACAGTTACAACTTACAAACATGCCTTTGAATATGTGTATAGAATTTATACAACAGCAGGAATTAATACATACCTACAACCAAAATAAAAATAAATCCTACGAAGAAATAATGGCTGAAACATATACGGTACAAACAAAAAGAAAAAATTGTGCGTACTGTGGAAAAATTCATGAAATGAAAAAAGAAAAATGCCCAGCCTTTGGAAAGACGTGTTCAAAGTGTTTAAAAAAAAAAAATCACTTCAAAGAAGTATGTAAAACGAAAAATGTGGAAAGAGTAGAGGATGAAAATAGACAGATTTTTAATGTAAAAAAGGATAATATACAAAATACTGGATCTAAGAACGGAGATACAAAAATAAAAGTGAAAATCAACGACTGTATTGTCGAAATGCAAATCGACACAGGTAGTGACATCACGATAGTACCCAGAAATTTGAAAAAATGGGAAAACTGTTTTTAAAAAAAACCAACGTACAACTACGTCAGTTTGATGGCTCGATTATAGCAATTATGGGTTACTTTGAAGGTTCAATAGAATTAAAAGAAAAATATGAAATAGTACCCATTATAGTTACAAATTGCCGAAAAAAACGCATGGACTACTGGGGAATGACGTGTTAAAAATAAATTCAACGAAGTTGATTAATGAGATAGAAATAGAAAAAACAGGAAAATTAAAAAACTATGAAGCTAGCCTGAAATTAAAGATGTTTCCCCCTCCTACTACGAAGCGAGAAAAATACCAGTGCATTTATTACCATTGGTAATAGCTAAATTGCTGAAAGCTAATAAAGGAAGACTTATTAGAACCTGCCCTCCAGGAGGAAGTAAATGGGCATCACCCATCGTGGTATTAAAAAAAAAAAGATGGTGACCTGAGAATTTGTGGAGATTATAAAATAGGGGTGAACCATAAAGTTTGTGCTGACTCGTACCCTATTCCAAATGTGGAAGTAGCTTTACATAAGCTTGCTGGAATGAAAGTATTTTCGAAGATAGACCTAAAATCAGCTTACCACCAAATACCGATAAATGAAAATTTTAAAGAAGTGACGACTATAAACACACCTATAGGCCTGTTAAGGTGGAAAAGAATGCCGTATGGCATAAAAACGGCAAGTGCAATTTTTCAAAAAGCTATTGAAAAAGTAATAGGAAATGTTGAAAATACCATCTGTTATCAAGACGATATATGTGTTGGAGATTTAAATGAAGATGATTTAAAAAAAAAAAAAACTGAAAATATACTGAACCGGCTGAGAGACGCTGGTATGACAATAAATAAAAAAAAAGTGTGTAACCAACAGTAATGAAATATCATTTTTGGGTTACTCAATATCAAAGGAAAGGATCTCTCCAGATAAAGTACTAATAGAGAAAATTCTAAAAGTTGCTACACCAAAAAAAAAAAAAATTTGAGTCCTTCTTAGGTTTGGTAAATTTTTATAGAAAATATGTACCAAAATATAATGAGTTGACAGAGCCATTTGCTAAGTTAAGAAAAAAAAATGTGGAATTCATTTGGTTAGAACACCAACAGAAAGCCTTTGAAAACTTAAAACAGATTCTGGCAAAAAAAAGCCAATAGTACAAATTTTTGACCCTAAGAAGGACATAACTCTAACTACTGACGCTAGTGAGCAGTCCATATCTGGTATTTTGTCACAAGATGGGCATCCCATAATGTATTTATCAAGGAGATTAACAACAACTGAACACAATTATTCGAATATAGAAAGGGAGGCACTAGCCATAGTGTGGACAACGCATAGAGCAAGACAGTTTTTTGATGGGGAAAAAATTCTTGTTGAAAAGTGATCATAGACCACTGGAATTTATTTTCAACCCAAGAAAAGAGCTACCGAAAGTTACAACGTCCAGAATATTACGTTGGGCGATTAGACTGATGGCGTTCGACTTTGACATTGAATATGTTAAAGGGAATACGATACCGCACGTTGATGCCTTATCTAGATTGAGGTTTTATAGAGAGGAGGACAAAAACGACGAGGAATTTGAAGACACATTCTTGCACCTTTGTAGAAACCGATGTAATATCTGTAGATAAAATGGCTACTGAAACTACAAATGACCCAGTGTTAAATAGAATAATGTCGAGGATAAAACAGAATCGCTGGGGAAATTGTTCAATGGCTGAAAGACCATTCAAAGAAATTAGACATAGAATGACTATAGAAAACGGGATAATATGTAATGGAGACTTGGTAGTTCCCCAGAAACACAGAGGAGACAGGTTATAAAAAGTGTACACGATGACGTACATTGTGGAGTGGCAGCTACGCAAAGAAGATTAAAATTGGAAGCCTGGTGGCGGGGTACTCAAGAGACGTAGAAGACTACGTAAAAAAGATGCAAAAAATGCACAGAACTCAGGAATTTTAAGCAAAAAGAAAATACATGTATGGCCCCCGAGAAGTAAAACCATGGAGCAGAGTACACATGGACCATGCCTATGTCAATGGGATAGGACTATTATTAATATTAGTAGACGCATATTCAGGTTGGCCTGAAGTGGTGAGAGTACCTGATAAAAAAAGTACCACCGTAAAACAAATATTAAGAGTAATATTTTCGAGGAATGGGACACCGAGAACATTGGTGACTGATAACGCACCAGAATTTGTGGATGCTGATTTGCATGAATGGCTAAGAAAAATAGGATGCAGACCTTACAAGACCCCTCCCTACCACCCTCAAAGTAATGGGGCAGCGGAAAGGATGGTCCAGACGGTAAAGAAGGGCATAAAAGCATGCTTGCAACAGAAGGAGGAAATCGATGCTTTCCTACCAAGATTACTATTAAGTTACAGAACAATTCCACATGCAGGCAGGCCGGAAAGTCCATCTGCCTTAATGGGCAGACAATTAAGGTCCCTTTGACTATGTCATATGCCACAAATCAAAAGATGTGGTACAAAAGAAATAGGAATATGCAACCAGAGTCAGCCGAATTTATTATGCAGAAAGGACATAATACTGCAATATTAAATAAAGAAAATGGGAACAGTGTTCTAGCTCATGCTGACCAAATAAGATCCCAAGGAGAAGAATCTGATGAGGAAATGCCTTCAGAGATGCCCATTATTGATGTATCAGAAGAGTTAATGCAGAATGAAACTGCGGAGGAAGAAGTAGAGAGAGATGAGTTAGAAGTTAGAAGAGGAAGACCAGAGTATGCAAGAGAAACAATTCGATTATAGGGAAAGACGTGATAGATCTAGATCTCCAAGGGAAAGGAGAGAGATAAAGGAAGATGTTCAGGAGGGCACAAGAAGAAGTACAAGAAGTACTCGCGGCATAAGGCCCCTCCGTTATAGGGAGATGTAGTGATATGCAAATTAGTATAATTTGCATATGAGCAGGTAGCTCATATATAATAAATGGACACCAACGAGAACGGAAGTGGAATAAGAACTTAGTGGATACACGACATTCATTGTTTTCACTTTCTTTTGCATTTTTCTTCATTTCTTTAAGAAGTTGTTTTAAATATAAACATTCTTTTTGTTTATTTTTATCCAGAAATTTCATCTCCTTTAACTTTTATTTTATTTCTTTGATTATTTTTTCTTTCCGTTCAACTTACTCAAAGGTCAATTGCACTTTTTGATTTCTTAAAGATTTATTTGCCATTTCTTTAATTTTCCTACATTTTTATTGACAACTTTTACCATCTTCTTTCTTTGGCAAGTGTTTCTTTTCTTTAAATTTCTTTATTTTAAAAATCTAATATTTAATTTTCTTTCTTCTTTCTTTCTTTATGATCTATCTGTCTTTATTGTTTTATTTTCGTTTTTTTGACCATTTCAATTTTTTTTCTTCCTTTCTTTCTTAAATTCTCTGTCTACATCCTGACATTTTCTTTAGAAAGGGGAAGTTTGAAATTTCTTTCTTTCTGACATCATTTCTTTTTATTTTCTTTTTGTAAGCATATCTCATTTTATTTCTTCTTTCAGTGGTAAATGATATTATATTTAATTTTTCTTTTTGGTTTTTCTATAATAATTTCTTTTTCTTTCTTTTTTCTTTCTTTCTTTTTTCTTATATTGAGTAGTGTATAATATTTTGAATTTTCCTTTAATTTTCCTTTTTTTTTGATAGTTTTCTTTTTTTTGGTTAATTTTGTGCCCGTTTCTTTGTTTCTCTGAGTTTCAACAGTATATCTCATTTTCATTCTTCTTTTTTTTTTCTTTCTTTTTCTTTGTCCATTTTTCAAAAATTGAAAAAATACAATAAAAAATCTAATCGCATTTTTTTTTTTTTTTTTTTTTTTTTCTTTTGTTTTCCTTTTTGGGAAGCCACTAGGACACAAGGGGTTACAGAAAATTTAGAGCAAGATCAGATAGGAGTGATAGAAGAAAGGATCATAGTGGATCTTTTCAAGGCAACTTTGTATTTCACTTTTGACTGTCTTTGAATAGCTGGAAATTATAGCTCACAGGGAAAATGGACGAGAAGGGAAGTTCCACAGGCAAGATGTGAGACATGATTATATTGGAGTAGAAGACGTCCAGACAGTCGTTTTGACAGTCAAGGGGTGAGAGCAGGATGCCAGCCGACAGCTAATGAATCTATGATGTACCCAGTCTTTTTTAATCAAACTTATTTGGATATATTTTGTGTTTTCAATATATATTTTATTTGTACCCAGCATCCTCAACAATATTTGGGTGTGTATGTTTAATATATATGTGTTGACAAACATATTATATATAATTTACGTGTACAATTGAAATGACAAATCAGGAGATAATGTAACATATTTAGTTATATATATATATAGTTTTGTCTTGTTTTGTCTGACAATCGCAAAAGCAATGAGACCCATCAAACAAGAGTGTGTGTGTGTGTGTGTGTGTGTGTGTGTGTGATAATTAAGCGCATTTGTTGTTCAAACATGTCGAAAAAAAAAAGAGAATAATTGAGGATCTATTGAGATTATTCAATTTCCTGAGACAAATTGAAATGATCATTGCAAAACAGCAGTTGTTGTACAAAATTTCCAAAACTTTTATAATGCCTGTGTCCAAACTTTTAACTTGTGAATCATTCTCAGGGGAGTGTAATTAATTATTGTACTATATGAAAAACATTAGTAGTCATAAGTAGCACATTTATTGCTATATTGTATTTAAATTCAATAGAACAAATTTATTTATTTCAATTTTCAAATTTTTGTAGAAAATATGAAACAAAACTTACTTTTTTCATTCAACGTTTTCCAGAATGATAAACTGTCAAAACTTGAAATTCAGTACTCAGAGGCAGAGCAACTCTCTTCAGATATTGATGCCCGACAAATATATATATATATATATATATATATATAATATATTTGACAGAGACAAATGCCCCGGCGTTTTTAATTTGATTCAAAAATGAGGCCTCGATTAGTTGGTGAAATGTTTGAATTAAAGGAGAAGATTTTTAGTGGTGGGCAGAAGTTACTTGAACTTGAAATTGAGTTTAATTAATGAACAAATATAATATATATATATATATATATATATATATATATATATATATATAAAAAATTCAAAATTACCTCATGTGGGTACAGCCTATTTCAAACTGGTTCAACCTTGTACAGACCTCCTCAGCCCTGGACTGAGTTCGTCCCGGATTCAGGGGTTTGGAATTTAACTTAGATAGCATTAAAGGTACAAGTCCTACCCAAAGAGCTGCTTCATTAGATAAAGAGCCTGAGTTGGTGATTATCTCACATGAGGTATTTTTCTAAAGCTCTATACTGGAATGGGAGTTTATTTATGAATAAATCCTTAAAGTTGTATACAAAGGAATTTAGGTTTCCACTAGGAAATACCAAACTATACCAACAACAAATACATTTTAATAGGATTAAAAAATAAATTGTATTTAAACAATTAATATAAAGAAGGGATAGAATTAAGGGTTGATATTATTAAGTAATGGAGGATTGAAAGAAAAAACAATTTAAAGTTAGAATGAATTATCTAAATAATAGATTCCCAAAATCTGTAGTAAGTAATACTGAAACACCCAGTAGAATAAATTATGCTGTATAACACACACACACACACACACACATATATATATATATAATCCATTTATACTGTTAAGGTTAAATTATTAGGAAGCCCAAGCTGTACCCAAAAATTTTTAAGAGAAAGATTTTAAAGTAAAAAGTTAATCAAAGGGGCTTGCATTAATTAGGGGACTGTTAAAAAATAGGATTAATATGGAGAATAGTGTGGAATTATAGGAGTTAATTATTTAGTGGGGTTTTGTGTGTGTGTGTGTATATATATATAAATTTATTTCTTAAATGTTATTTTTAATGGATGCCCATATCTAAGTAGATGCTCTGTTTTTATTTATTTGTTAAACAGTATATTTATTTATTTCCATCTACTGGACTGAATATTTGAGAAATCATATTAAAAAAATATGTCCTCTCTGATAGGATTCAAACCTGTGTTCCCCTAGGGGAAACAATCATTAGATCTAACATGCTTTGACCTTTTGGCTATAAAGAGCCCCCTGATCAAGCAAAGCCTGAATAGTGCTTTTAAACACAGACCTTTCCTGTGCACTATTTGGGCTTTGCTTGACCAGGAAGTTATTTGTGGCCAAAAGGTCAAAGCATACAGATGTGATGATGGCGTCACCTAGGGGAACACAGGTTCGAATCCCGCCAGAGAGGACATATTTTTCTAATGATTTCTCAAACATTCAAGCCAGTAGATGGAAATAAATGTACTTTTTAATAAATAAATAAAAAACAGAGCATCTACTCAGATATGGGTATCCATTAAAAATAAAGTTTAAGCAATAAATTAAAATATGTCATATGTTAATGAAATATATATATATATAGTTATATATATATTTTTTATTATAAAAATGTATAGAAATTATTTAACTGTAGTTTCCTTAGATCTTATTTTGAAAACAAAAACATTGAAAAGCTTTATAAAATCGATGTATTTCAAGAAAAACATGGGGAAACTATGTTGTGAAACAAGTAAAAAGCATTGAGAAGTAAATTAAAATTAATTTTATTGTAGGAAAATTTTTTAAAGTCATTTTTATGAAAGCATTTTTATTCTAATTTTACAAGAGAATATATATTTTTTGTAAAACGCAGTGAAAAAGTATTTTACCTAAATCTTGGGTTTTCCTTTCCCTTCTAAAAACAAAAACAAAAAAAAAGTCAAAAACTGCAGTTGTTTAATACATTTTTTTTATATATATATATATATATATATATATATATATATAAGCGTATCCTATACACAAACACTTATTTTTAAAAATTCAAAGAATTCTTTTTCAATAGAGATTATATTAAAGAAAAATAAATTTTAATTTACACAAAAAGCAGACAAAATGAAATATGTTTGCATGTGATTTACAAAACAGACAGATGGATGCACTCTATACCAAAAAATTTATTTTTATTTTCATCACTATTTAAGTTTCTATCCTATTTCTCTATGTGAGAATGTACCATTGTATATGTTCACACATATGCACCAGATGATAATCTAGCTTCTTATATGTGCCTTGGTAGGTAAATGCATATGTGCTTTCTATTTTTCTAACTCTTCTATGTCAGAATTATGGGATGTATTGTAAACATGTAATCATAGGTTTACTATACCCTTCTATAATTTCTGATAGCACATACACACACACACGCTCTCAAAATATCTTTTAAATTATTTTGTTTTTGCACACATTTACATTTTTCGTATAATTTCTGAACTTTTTCCTTTTTCATATATTTACATACATATACACACATGTACAAGTATTTATGTGACAATACTAGAAACAATTTTTTGAATAGAATATACATATATCTATACATTAGATAAAATTAAATATGTATATATGCTATGTATACATAATTACTAATGTATAGAAATAATGAATTTTGCCTTTAGATTTTTGTTTGAATTGGAATTTTCGGTTAACTTATAAAACTGGTCATGTTTCTTTTTTAAGTACTGTATGTGTGGCTAAAAGTTATTAAGCTACATTTAAGAAAATGTTTAGCTCTACAATATTTCTTTTATTTTAATGTGTATATAATTTTATTTGTTTCCTATCTAGAAAAATGCATAAAGTTACTTTACATAACTTGATCTGATATAATATTTTATGAATTAAATTAAAAAAAAACAAAAGATTGATCTTCTGTAGATTGTCAGTTGTTGTTTTTTATTTACACAGATTTTTTTTTTTTTTTGTATGAACACATTCATTTAAATACATTTTTATATTATTTCACCATTTCAGGTGTGAAAGCTAACATATAATATTTTTAAAAAAATTTTAGCATTTTGGCTATTTTAGCTTTGTGGTTTTTATTTTGGATTTTAGCTTTCTATTTTAAACTTATGGTCTTTATCTGAGTCTTTAAGTATTTATTTTAACTTTTGGTCTTTATCATTTGTCAGAAAATATATTTTTATCTCTGATAAGAATCAAAGGTTTAGGAGCAGGTATTTTGGAAATAAGGGTTTGACAAATAGTGAGTGTTACAGATTTCATGGCACCATGGTCAGGCCAAAGGTGGTCAAATTCCTTTTTTTATTTTCCAGCTCTCTCAGAAAATATATTCTTATCTCTGATAAGGATCAAGCTGTATTTGAAAGCAGGAGTAAAGATATGAGGCTAGAACATGAACTTGTAAAACATTGAGTAGTGGTTCTCAAATTAAATTCTAATAATTATTTAACTTTTGGAGTTTTATTTTAGCTTTTAACTCTATTTTTAATTTTATGGTCTTTATTTGAGCCTTTAATATTTTTATTTTAATTTTTAGGTTTTTATTTTAGCTTTTTTGTTTACATTTTAGCATTTTGCTCTCTATTTTAACATTAATGTCTTTCTTTGAGCTTTTCGATATTTGAGACTTTAGGTTTTAATTTTAACTTTTTAATTCTTTATTTTAGCATGTTTACTATTATTTATGACTTTTGGTTTTTATTTTAGATTTTTATATCATTATTTTAGTATTTTGGTCATTATCTTAGTATTTTGCTCTTTATTTCAGAATTTTAGCATTTTGGATTTTATTTTAGCTTTTATTTTTGCCTTTAGCTCTTTATTTTACCTTTTCAGTCTTTGGTTTTGTATTTTGGTCCTTTTTAAATTTTACTTTAGCTTTTAGTCATTATTCTAGCCTTTTGGTCTTTATTTTAAACTTTGGCACATGTTGATCCCCAACATACAATCACATGCTTAGGATTGTTACAGACAATGTAAACATTGTGCACATCATCTATAGAGTCCACAAAAAGTCAGATGTAATCACTCCTTTCCATGTGGCCTCTTTCAACAAACTAGTTATCTCAAAGTCAATGTGATTTGTGGCTAGGGTTACATAAACAATCTGCATTTTCATTTCCTGTTTAATAGTGGATAATCTACTTTGTTAATGCACTTTGATATATCTAAAAAAGAAATGAGAATGTTAATATTTGGAACATGCTATGTAATATTACATTAGGTTGTCTTTCATTTATGATTTGCTAAAGGGTGTGTTCTTAAATACCCTGTGGCACACTTTATTTGTTATTCACTATAGACTTAGTTGATACACTTCTTTTTGGGCCCCACAATCTAGTGAAATGTGGAGAATTGTCAGATCAGTGTGTTGTCTGTTATCTGATCATCATCCGGTGTGTTATATAGGAATAAAGTATTACTGCTGACACTGGAGTTTGAACATAGATCACCAAATAACAAACACAGGTGATCCCATTATTGAATTAAGTAGACCACATGACCATAGAGGAAATGCATAAGTAGGAAGTAGTGTGATGTCCAACTGATCACTATATTCTAGTCTATCCTCTATACTATTCAGATCACTATTTCTATTCTATCCTCTATTACTATACGGACTGCTATTCTCTGTACTATTTCATTATAAGGATTACTATTTGAGCGAGTATTATCAAGCAAGTACTATTAGTTCTAGTGTTATTTAAAGGTGTCTGACACCAGAATTTTTCAGTGGCATACTATAGTTGTATCTGCGATTACAAAGTCTCTACTACAATGTGCATTACGAAAGTGACAACGAGTATTCATTGACATCACAAAATGGTGAAAGTTTAAGTGACTTTCCGCCATCCACAGTATATTTCAAGATCTGAAGAAAATTCTCTACACTACTTCAGAACCACTTCCAAAATTCCTGATCTGAGCAGAATCATGTGAGCTGTCCTCAAATCCTTCCATTTCTCACCAAGAATGGAGATGACATGAACTGTAGATATCAACCACTAAAAAAAAAAAGAAAAAAGAGGTGGTTTCAAATCTTTCATCCTTCTTTTTAAAAATACTATTAGAGCTGTTAACAAAAAGGATAAGACTCTCAAAGTGAAATTTGCTGCCAACACTTGAGTTTGAACATAGTTCGCCAGTGAGCAAACACAGGCGATCCCATTATTGAATTAAGTAGACTATGTGACCATAGAGGAAACGCATAAGTGACATGCAAGTGATCACTATTTCTAGTCTGTCCTCTATTACTCTCCAGATCTGTATTTCTACTCTATTCTATATTACTATATGGACCGCTATTCTCTACTCTATTCTTTATACTATTTCTCTATTTGGATCACTAAGCTATTCAAGCAAGTACTATTAGTGCAAGGCTTATTTGAAGGCGTCTGACGCCAGCATTATTCAATGGTGTACTATAGTTGTAGCTGTGATTACAAAGTCTCTACTACAACAAGCATTATAAAAGTGACGAGTGTTCATTGACATCACTAAACAAAGAAACAAACATTTATTAATGTGAAATTTTTAATTCAGTCAGTATATTAATGTAAATATAAGCAAGTGTATGTATGTAAGTAAATATCTACCATGCCACCTACTAGCTGACTAACATTTCTACCTTTGGAGTTTTTGTTTTATGGCATATCAACACTGCAATGGGTTATTTAATGGCGACAAGATTTTTAGAATAGATTCATATCAATAGAATATGTATTGTTTATAAGAGATCAGTTTATAGGAGATTGGGTTTCATTGATGTATTTTTGTAAAGACGGTTTGTAGAGAGTTTAGTTTCATTAATGTATTCTTCAGATATAGAGTTGGTTTTAGTGACATTCTTATTTGGTTTATATTTTTTCTAGAGGGCCACTGTTCTAAAAAATAATATGTCCTTCCTTCATTGTTTCCTTTACGAAGAGCTCATATATGTTTATACTATGGTATTTCTGTTTTGAGAGAGCAAGGTCTGAAGACTCAGTTAATATATGTTTAATGATATATGTCATTTTACAGGCTTGGTGTAGTGGCTGATCTTCCTTGTTTAGCAAGTACAAGTGGGTTATTCTTATATGGCCAATTTGTAAATAGGTCAGTAGTACTTCTTCCTTTCAAGATTTTCTGAAAGCAAACATCCATTCTCTTAGTTTGGGCTGAACAATGAAGAGTTTATTGTGTGGGTTATCATCCCAGCACCATTGCCATTCCTTTTGAATATACTTATTAATTACCTCCTTAAGGATTTTGGTCATTGTGTCTGCAGCAATATCTAAAGCTGATTTGGCTGCTAGGTCTGCTTTATTGTTTCCTTCAGCTCCAATCTGGCTAGGAATTCTAAAACTTTCTCCTCTTTTTCTCTGTTGATGTAATTACCCAACCTTTTTAGTTTTTCATTGGTTCTTTTCTTTTTCCTTGTGCAGGCAGGTCTATTTATGGAATGTTTCCCACCTCTTGCCGCATGTCTTAAGTATATTATTAGTGTTATTTCTCTCTTCTTTTTTTTTCATTCTCTGAACCATTTGAGGATTGCTTCATGGCATGAAACTCATGGTAAAGTTTTGTATCTCTAACTTTCTTGAATTGAATTCTAGCTTTATTCTAGGTCATTTTTCTAATTGGAAATTTCTAGATTAACACCATAAATTGCTACAAAACTCAACTCATATTCTTAAATAGCCTCCTTAGATCAAAAGTTTTCATGCAGATGTCATGGATAGCACTAAAATCATTCAAAGCTTTTAAACTATCAGCTGTATACAACTGCTTTCTCAGGTCTATGGTTAAAGGTGGCTTCAAGCAAATGAAGCCTGTAGGTCTTAATGAGGACCATTCTTATTTGAACCTTGTGAACTGATGCTACAGAATCACAGGCATAATAATGTACTAAGTAACATAAATTACATCACCTGAGAACATTCAACAACACCAACAATTAAAATGGATATCACATGCAACTCAAGGAAAAAATAATGACACTCAAGATGTTGACATTCCACACTACTTCAGACAAAAAGTTAGGAAGGAAACCGCCATCAATACTGGAAAGAGTAATAACAGTTACTGGATTTGAGGAACTTATTTTTCTGAAAAAGTGTTTTAATAGAAAGACTTTATCAATTTCAAACAAAATTAGCACTGGCTGCATTGTCAATGAATGCCAAATATTTCCATATAAGGAAATGACTAATATTATCATAACCATTAAAGATGAGAACAGATGTTGCACTTTAATCTGAGTCTGATGGCCAAGAAATGAAGAAAAAGCATAACTTGATTAGCACTGGTTGCTCAGTCAATGAATGGTGAATGTTTCTGTATAAGGAAACAGCTGATATTTCCATTACCATTTAATCTTAAGTTAAAATAAATAAAAACATTAACGTTTTCCTTTTTTTCATTGACGCATAAAGCTATTTTCTTTTTTTTTCTTTTTTGCCTCTTTTTTTTCCAGTTTCACTAATTCTGGTTCTATTAACATTAATATGCATTTTCTCTACTGCACATTCTAAAAGAAAAAGAAATTGGACAAACATGAAAAGATTGGCGCCCCCAGAAAAAAATGCGAGCTTTCTGTTTACTCAGTAGAATATGGAATCAAATTTTCTTCCCCATATCACATTTTTTTCTCTTCTAACATTTGTATTTAGATAAGGTGATTAAATAGGAGTAGATAAGTTTGCCCATCATCCGATTCACACTCCTCAGGAGTAGATGTTTATCCCTTGTTTCCTGTTTAGGACTGGGTTTCCAGTTCCTTCCACCTAAACTCTGAAACTTTATGATTTATTTGTTATTTTTTTCCTCAACAGGAGTAGATAGGTTTGCATATCATCTGGTTCACACTCCTCTTAGGTCTTTTGATTAGGAGTAGAGTTTTATCCTTTGTTTCCTGTTTAGGATTGGGTTTCCAGTTCTTTCTGAAGAATTTCTCATTCTCTTTTACTTCCATCTTAGTGACATTATTGACTTGCTTGAAAGATTAAAAAAAATAGTGAAAATGTGAGCAACATATTTAGGGACATGTAAAGAATAATGCTGTATGTATTTTTGATTATAAAATTAATTCACTAAAGGTAAGAAGAGGTGTTATTTCACTCCCCTATACTGGCCCTTGTATTTCAGTTTTATAGAAATAAATATTAGCATCAGTAATGTTGTGAATTTTAATTAAATTTCCTGATCTGGTATCTCAGCTTCAGTTACTTTCCCACTGCCATGAGGTTACTTCCCTTTGCTATTTTTATAAATACTTTCATGGTAATTGTTCAGATGAGCTCTTTGCTATGATACCTAGACTGTATGAATTTAAATACAGTACTAGACTGGCATCAAGATCTCATCAATTTACAGTTGAGCTGGCTAGATGTAACCATAATTTCTATGCTTTCTTTACTCACATTTTTCACTTGTGGGACTCCCTTCCAGCTCCAAGCTTTCCAGCGAACTTTAATCTGCAAAAATTTCAATGCAATGTCAATTGCTATCTACTGTCCTCCTGATTACTCTTTCCTCTTCCTACTCATTATTAATGTTTATGTTCCCAATTCTTCAACACCCTGTAACCCCTTGTGTCTTAGTGGCTTTATTGCTTTGTCTGGGGAGAACTCAAAAAAAAATGTTTCTTTGATTTTGACTTCATTTGAAATTAATATTTTGTTACAATTAAAAATGATTCAACTGACATAACTTATGAAAATATGCCAGATTCATATTTATAATTAATTAAGTTTGTTAAAAATAATTAAAATAGAAATCAATTTTATTTTATCTATTTTTTTAATAATTTTGCCCCAAGCAAGGCAATAAAGTCCCTAAGATGCAAGGGCTTACTAAAAGTGAAAAGAAGTGAGAAAATTTTATTGAGTAAAAAAGACAATAAGAGAATAGGATTCAGAAAGACAGAAGCTATTTCAAGAGTGAAATGATCAAACCTTGTTGCCAATCTAACATATTTAAATTCATTAGAACAAGAAAATATTTATAGAAAAACAGAAGCCATGTCATGGTGATGAGAAAGTGACTGAAACTGAGATGACAGGCTAGGACCAATAATATTACAGACATTTCCTTGGATTTTATCAAGAATTTCAAGATATATAGCCGGAGTATCAAACTAGATGAATGGTAGATTTATAAATATGCAAGATAGATTCTGGAGAGAAAAACTGTTACAACACAATGAACCAACTTTTCTAGCAGTAGACCTAATAATTTATACATGATATTTCAATTATTTTGAATCTACATAACTGTGAGTCCACCTCAACACATGCAAAACTAAAGTTATGTCATAGGATTTTACAAACTAATAGTAGTAAACGTGTAATTAGTTAAATAATTAACAGCTGATTTGGACTTAGCTTTTTTTAATCACTTTACCCCCATGTAAAGTAATAATGCCGCTAGCACAGAGTACAAGGATTGAAAGAGAATGGAGTGGATTAAGGAAAGGAACAGGGTTCAGGAAGACAGATGTCAATTGATGGTGCATTTAAATTTTTAAAGATTGTAGTTATCAGGGAAGCAAGAAATCAGAAGGGAGTTCCACAGGTGAGAAGTGCGAGAAAAGAAACTGTTAGAGTAGAAGTGGTGATTATGCTAACAATATGCAGACAGTGAGTTTGATTTGTGCTTATCCTTACCGTTGGTGCTATTGGTCAGTGTTCAAGTCCAGTTGAGGAGGATTGAGGAGAAGGCAAAAATGAACAGGACTCAAGATAGATGATGATGATTGATACTACATTTAAATTTTTGAAGATTGTAGTTATCAGGGAAGCAAGAAATCAGAAGGGAATTCCACAGGTGAGAAGTGTGAGAAAAGAAACTGTTAGAGTAGAAGTTATGGTTGCATCTAGCTAGTTCCTCTTTCTTTATCAGCCATCAAGAATCAGAGGATGATTTCACTGATAAACACATTGATTTAAATTTTTCCTTTTAGGTAAACATTGGGACTTGGAACAAAAGAAATTGGGTAAAAAAAAAAGGAAATTTAGTAGGCACTTTTTAAAAAAAACAAGGGAAGTCTGCCTGTCCAAATTAGAAAGTTTTACTGATATTTAGAATTAAGGTTGATGGAATTATGAGACAAAAAATGATTTTCCCAAAAATAGTAAAAATGTCTGTTGACAATTTATGTCCTTTGTTTAAACTCTCAATAAAATGACAAAATGCCAGAAAATTCAGCCTCTAGGCATTTCTGGTATAAATTTGTCATGTCAAAATGGTACACAGTTTGGATATGTGCCATAATGAGTTCAAACTTTTCAGCTGTTATCTTATTTTAGCTAGAGAGAAAAAGAAAAGAATTTACTTGCATCACCTGTGAGAAAGATGAACCTACCAATGTGTCTTGCAAAGAAATTATAGAAAAAAATAAAAAAAAGGAATAAAAAAAAACAAAACAGAAATTAGAATACTTGTAATGAAGAGAAAGAATAGAAGGTAGATGAGAAAAGAAAGAAATGAAATAATTCCTTGTATCATTGCAAATGAATAGCCAGAAAGAAAACTAATTTAATCATAAGCAATAACTTTAAAGATTTCATTGCAAATGTTAAGAAAATCCTGTAGATAGAAAGGTATATGAACAAAAAGATGGAATGAATAAAAGAAACAAAAAAGTGGGAACAATATGGAAGAACACAATTCGGACATTATTTGGACTATTGTCCTTATCTTTGTCGGCATATTTATTACAACGTTTTGGCCCTTGAGTATCTGTGTATATTTCTGAGAAGAGGTATTATGTACACTATATACATAATTCGGACTATTGTCCTCATCTTTGTCACCATATTTATTACAACATTTCATCTGTTGTACGCTTCAGCCTTCTTCAGGTGGTTGGAATGCCAAACTAAACCCTTTATTTCACTCACTGGGGTAGACTGTTCTAGTTCCATGTGCCATGTTTAATGGACGTCAGTTATCAGTGATCTCATGTTAATTCCCCTCTGAAAGTTCTCCACTGCCTTAACCAGGACTCAAGGACACATGACACAGTGAAGAAGGCCAGAGCATACAACAGCTGAAACATTGTAAAAAATATGGCAACAAAGATGAGGACAATAGTCTGAATAATGTAAATAGTGTACATAATACCTCATCTCAGAAATATAGAAAGATACCAATATGGAAGAAATACAAAAGAATTAGGACAAACAAAAAGAGCCATCGGAATGCTGATAGATAAGAGTTTAAGTACCAAGCCAACTCACTGCAAGTGTTCAGATTAACTCTCCAATTTTGTAATAGTCATTGCCATTGTGTGTAAGTTAAGAGAGACTTTGGTATTTTAAATCAAAAAATCTTTTTTGCGGTATAAAATCTAAAATAAATCAGCTGTCAAAGCAGATTGCTGAACAAGATTGTCGTGTGGATGTAAGAGGAGGAAGTAAGTGCGGATTATGAGGATACATAGAATAGATAAGGATTGACCCTATACATGAAGAGGTTAAGATTAAAGTGACTGGGAAAACATCCCTTTAAGAATTTGTTCCATAAAGTAAAAGTTCTGGAAAAAAAAGCTGAATAGAAAATAGAACTTCCTTTTACTGCATTAAGTTGATTT